GAGAGTCTTCGTCTAGTGGCTTTTTCGTCTTGCGAAGCAAGCCCATTGACGGATTAGCGCTATTAGCGCTATTAGCGGTTTAGCGGCTATTAAAGGCTTAAAGGCTTAGGGATTAGCTGCTAAAAGGCTATTAAAGGCTATTAAAGGCTTAGCAGATTAGATAAAGGGGAAAAGCGAAAAAAATCTCAAGACTCGCAAGGTATTTTCGTCTTGCGAAGCAAGCCCATAGGGGAATTCGTCCTGCGAAGCAACTTCAAAACGGAAAACCCTTTCGTCTAGCGGTTTTTCCGTCTTGCGAGGCATTCGTCTTGCGGGGCACCACTGTAGTATCATGCCGAGTCAAATATGCCAATAGCCAATCTTTAATTGGTGGTGACTTCAACGCACGTATAGCAGCAAACTGGGCTGATTTAACTAAAGCTAAATGGTGGACTGCTCCATGCCTTGACAATTATGATTTGAGACATGCCTTAGGGAGAGCCTCAAAAGACTCCAAAGTAAACGAGGCTGGAGTACTTCTTTACCAGATGGCTAATCGCTGAAACTTAGAACCCCTGAATGGCTGCTGCCCTCCTGATATACCGGGGGAGTTTACCCACCTAGGCATAAAATCAAACAGTGTACTAGATTACCTTTTAGCCTCGAGTGACCTGATTTCGAAAGCTCTCTCTTTTAAGATTGGCAATATTCACTATAGTGATCACCTTCCACTTGCTGCTACATTTGACCTAGACTGGCACGGGGACGAGCACGGTCATCCAACTCAATTAGATACTAATGCAGAAAACCCGGTAGAGGGTATTAATACGGCATTACGAGTGAAGGATATAAAGTGGTCTGTAACGCAGGCTCAAAAATATTCTGAATTTTTTCAGCAGGAGATCATACAAACCTATTCAGCCCTTGGCATAACTTCATATGATCACGATCAAACTATTAATCTATTTGCCAATCTGTTGAATGACCTCATGTCATTCTTTTCTGTCCCAACCCACCAGGCAAATTGGGCCCACCCCAAGACAGGTGCACCGTGGTTTAACCGTAATTGCAAACAAGCCAAACAACATCTTTGTGCTATTTATAATGATTACAAATCCTCAGTGGAGATTACGCTTCCCAAGGAGTACTATCAGGCAAAATCAGCTTACAAATATGTGCAGAAAAAGGCCAAACAGGAATGGCAATTGAACCGCTGGCAAGCACTTATAGCTGCCTCAAGTACCCGTAATTCCGAAAATTCTGGCTGTTGGTTAACAGAAAATCCAAAAGATACCCCTTAACAGTTATTCCTGCCCCAATTTGGGAATCCTTTCTAAGGAATTATTTTGCCTTACCAGACCTTAATATTAATACAATCGATGGAGTCTATGAGCAGCTCCCTCTTTGGCCACCCACTGACCCGGAAGAAATCCACGGACTTATTTCTAATCTTAAAATCGGAAAAGCCCCGGTCCTGATCTAGTCCCGGCAGAAGCTATAAAACTTCATGCTGACTGGTGGGCGAAAATCTTGGCCGCTACCTTTGATGCCGTAAACAACAGTGGGAAGGTACCAAGAATATGGAAGGATGCGATTATTGTTCCAATTCATAAAAAGGCTCGACAGATGACCCGGGAAATTACAGGAATATCAGTTTATTGTCATTAATCGGGAAAATATATGCACGGTTCTTGTTAACTAAGCTTACTAAGTGGGCCGAAGAGAACAACCTGATTGGGCCTGAACAGGCTGGTTTTAGACCGAATCAGTCAGCGGTTGATCAGATCTTAGTTTTATACCACCTTGCCCGGAAATACTCCTCCCCAAATAGAGGCCAACTTTGTGCGGCCTTTATTGATTTAAAGGCCGCTTTTGACAGCATCCCCAGAGGATTGCTTTGGGGAAAACTAGCCCGATGGGGAATAGACAAAAGACTTTTGTGGCTAATAACTAAACTGCATGACGGATCGGCCGCTAGGGTGAGAATCTCTCCGGCAGGCGACCTCTCAAACTCAGTAGCTATCAATAGAGGTGTTCGCCAAGGATGTATCCTTGCTCCGACCCTTTTCAATCTATTTATAAGTGATATGAGGACGCCTCTGATAGAGGCTCAAGAAACGATCCACGCCCCCCGTCTTGCCCAATATCGTTGCCCCCTTCTACTCTACGCAGACGACGCAGTGATCCTATCCTTTTCAAGAGTCGGCCTTAGGAGGGCATTAAAAATTTTCGATGTTTACTGTAAATCAAATTTTCTTACAATTAACCATGTTAAGTCCAAAGTCCTAATTTTCACCAAGAGTCGAAAAACCTATAATTGGAGAATAGACGGAAAAGCTATTGACCAAGTCTTTAAATTTCAGTACTTGGGAGTCTTCCTCCAACACAACATGGGCTGGAAGGTCCATGTTGCATATGTATTAAACAGAGCTAAAGCCCTTTCCTATGCGCTATTGCGTTTTCTTTTCAGATGGGGCTTTCCATATTCCATCAGTGTTAAAAGTTTTCAAGGCAAAGGTGATTGCAACAATAGCATATGCAGTCCCATTATGGGGGTCCTTTGCTAATCTAACCCAGTTGGAGGTAATCCAAAACCAGCTTCTAAGAAGGTTGTTAAAATTACCCAGGTGTGTAAGCAATACTGCTATACGACTGGAACTAAATGTTACATCTCTAGAAACCACATTATGGAAATGCATCCTCTGTTACTGGTTGGCTTTATGGCATAAACTTCCAAATCTCCACTTGATACAATGCCTCTGGAGAGATGACTTCCCTAGCCCCTGGGCAAAAATAATACATGGGAAACTTGTGTCCCTAGGACTATCTCCATCCGAACTATTAAAATTGGATTTAACTTCGGCCAAAAGAATTATAACTCACAAATTAGAGGAGATGGATTTACAATTTAATATTGCGACAGGTGGAGGCACCTGTTCGCCGATAAACCTTGGCTTAACTCCACCAACGAAACTTCCATCTTACTTAACTACCTTATCAGTGGTGACGCACAGGTATGCCTTTATAATGGCTAGATTCAATGCTTTCCCATCAAACGTGTTGGGTAACAGACTCTCCAACGGACAGATCTCACTCCTCTGTGACTGTAAAAGCGGATCTATAGAATCGTTATATCATATAATCTTCTGTTGTCCATTACATTCGGCTTCACGGTCCAAGTTTCTGGCCCCATATTTATCGAGAATTGCTGACAGTCCTCAGGAAGCCCAAATAATATACTTATTAAACGACGAAGATACAAGTAGATCCCTTGCAGTCGCTAGATACCTGATTAATGTTTTATTTCAAAAGAGGAGAAATGGATCACTGTATGTTTCTGACAGCTTAGCTAAACTTAAGAACCATCAATAAGTGCCAGAACTAAGACGTATACCCCCCAAATCTGATGGATCGGAATTGCGGTTTACATAGAGGGAACTTATTGTGTATAGTGTTTACTTAACTAAAGTAAAATTGGTTTTATAAGGGTGTTTTAACTTGGAACTGTTTAAATTGTATTGCTTATGGATAAATTCTGATGTATTGTTTTCGATATGGGCCAATGGCCGCAATAAATCTAAATCTAAATCATCCAGCGCTAGTCGTGTCCCAAGCTATTATCTGCCCCTCCGCCCCCCCCCCCCCCACAATTCTATTGTCTACAAACTGCATAACTTAGAAGCACCACAGACCAGGACTGCCATGCTTGCTTTATTCCTCTCCAGCAATCCAAGAGAGGGCTGCAGACAAGGCACGTGGTCCAGGCATTACTTCAAACAGAAACGTCCAAATGATTTTCTGGTGCCGTTTTTGAAACGCGAAATGTCGCTGGAGTGACATAAGTCTATTTGCCTCACCTACTTACTGTGTGCTTATCCAAAAGCTTGAGAATTTGTTTAGACTCTTAATGCATTTAACAGATATGGTTCAAGACTCTCTGGGAGAGGCATGCCAGCACAGGCTATATAATGACAGCTTTGATATATGACCAAAGAACCCCGTTTCCCCAAGGGTGAGGCAAGATGTCACTGATATCAGAATGTGCAATAGAGCCTGGTATTCACACAAGACGCCTCTGACCCTCTGAGCTGACATTTAAAAACACCACCGGTTTATGAACGAGGACCACATAGCCTTTGAAGACGTAAAAGCAGCACAGTGTTACATATATGTGTAACTCTTCCATAAGTATGTGCTTTAAACTTGTTTTATTTATTTAAATGAGGTTATATTGTCACTTATCCAACCTTTGTTAGGCAGCTTGCTGGTTAATAGCCCAGAATGGTTGACTGATTCACTTGCCAGGTTTGATGGACAGCTGAGCCAGACTGGAGTCTGGGGATGCAGTGCTTCGGAGGGCTGGAACCTCCCTCTGATTGGCTACCAAGGCAACTGACCAAAGGAGGGTGGAGCCAGCACTTCGGGAAGGAGAATAAAAGGAGCCGTTTCTGAGAGAGTGAGCAGATAAATGGGGAGATGCTTTAAGAGAGAGAGGTGTAGAGAGCTGGTTCTGTGTTTAGCATCCACTGAGGAAAACAGCTACAGCTACAGAGTCTCTGAGCTTAGACAGAAAGCTCTCTAGCAGTGGTTCCCAACCTTTTTTGGCCATGCCCCACCTAGGCATTTCTAAAATTCTGATGCCAGAATTTCAAGAGAGGTTCTGGGGCAAGAAAACAACAAGAAATCTATCAACAGTATATGAACCAATATGGCTATATTGACCCAACAATCCCCCCCCCCATAGGCAAGGAAATCTCACTGCAGTTAACTAAAAGACAACCAACCATGCCCTAACCCCCCACTACCAAGGAAATATAATAAGCGAATAAAAAGAGAAGCTACCCAGTTGATGCTGACATAAAACCCCCCCACACTAAGTAAAAGAATATATGTTTTCCCACCTCATCTCCTCTCTCCCCACTTTTCTTTCCCAGTCTTACACTATACACAACACGAATGTTTCACAACAAATGCAACTGAATTGTAGAAAACACAACTTGAAAAAAGAGAAAAACACATACTTCGGAAATCAAGAATATCTTTAATAAAAGTTAGGTAAAACAAACAAACTGACGAAAGAGGTTCTGAGCCGAAAGAGCTGTACCATGTCCTCATCCAGGCAAGGTCCTTCTCATCTCCCCTGCAGGCTGAAAGATGGACCTCAGAAGGCGCAGACCTTCCAACTTCAGCGTGACCACCTGGGTGTTTGGCTGAAAAGCAGGGGGGGGGGTGGAGGACATTGGTCAAGGACAATGGGAGTTGTAGTCAAGCAACCCCTGTAGGAAGGCCTCCAGTGCCCAAACCCATCTTACTAGTGTAAGCCTTTTTTAAAGAAATGCCTCTAATAATAATAATAATAATAATAATAATAATAATAATAATAATTTATTTATACCCCGCCCATCTGGCTGAGTTTCCCCAGCCACTCTGGACGGCTCCCAATCAAGTGTTAAAAACAGTACAGCATTAAATATTAAAAACTTCCCTAAACAGGGCTGCCTTCAGATGCTTATTTCCTTCACATCTGAAGGGAGGGTGTTCCACAGGGCGGGCGCCACTACCGAGAAGGCCCTCTCTCTGGTTCCCTGTAACCTCACTTTTCGCAATGAGGGAACCGCCAGAAGGCCCTCGGCGCTGGACCTCAGTGTCCGGGCTGAACGATGGGGATGGAGATGCTCCTTCAGGTATACTGGACCGAGGCTGTTTAGGGCTTTAAAGGTCAGCACCAACACTTTGAATTGTGTTCGGAAACGTACTGGGAGCCAATGTGGTCCCGGCGGCCACTCCCAGTCACCAGTCTAGCTGCCGCATTCTGGATTAATTGCAGCTTGAACACGTACACTCAACTTGTAGTGTGTTCTCCCCGCCCCGTGCAAATCTTTCTTTCCTCTTACCTGTTGAATTCAAAAGGGAGGCTCTGGCAGCAGCCACAGCAGTGAAGACTGGAGTTCCTGCAAGAAATAAGGAATCTTTGAAGCAGGAGAGAACTTGATGCTAAGGGCTGCTTCGAGGGAAGAATCCCTAAAGATGTGAATGGGCTATCACAGGCCGAACACCAGGGACAGAACGTCCCCTCAGACGCCCATTCAGCTGTCACACCCTCCCAGGGACTTAAAGCAGATCCCAGTGCAGAGATCACAAGAGCAGCCTTTTTGCAGAAACAGTCAGGTGATCAGGAGATGCAGCAGAACAGCATCTCTGGCTGCAGGGCTTTAAATGAGGGTTAGACGACTTAACGGAAGAGAGGGCAGTCAAAGGCTGGTAGTCCTGATGGAGACAACATGCTTCAGAAAAGCCGTTGCAGGAAGTCCCAGGTGGGCAGAGGGCTCTTCCGCTCAAATCCTGCTTGTGGCTTCCCCACTGGTATCTGGGTGGCCCCTGGGAGAAGAGGAGGCTGGACCAGAGGGGTCCTTGGCCTGATCCTGCTGGCCCTTCTTGTGTGTTTCCTAAGCCCCCCTCCTTCCCCCTGTCCCATTACCTCTGAGACAAGAAGACTTCATCTGGGCTCCAGTCCCTCCCGGGATGCGGCGGCTGCCAGGCTGAGTCTTTCCCTCCCTGCAAAGGAAACGGAGACATCAGCAGGCGCCTGGCTCCCAGCCACACTAGCCCCAGTCTGGGGCAGGAGGGGGGGACCTGGGAAGGGGCATTTCCTCCTACCTGATCTTATCAGCTGCCCCACCCTGAACTCCTCCATACGGGCGTTTAGGCTCCGTCCTGGCCGGCCTGGCACAGAAGGAGCGGCCAAAGTCTCCCCTGGCTCTGGAATAACTCGGGAGGTGCTTTTGATGGGTGGAAACCTTGGCTCGTCCTTCTGCGTCAAGTAGGGCCGGGAAGGAGCCATGCCCACACAGAGAATGGACGGAGGGGGAGGCAGGCGAGGGTCAGGGGCCGGGAACCGCCACAATGGTCTCTCATTCTTCATCCCGGAAGCAGGCGCTGGAGGCTCATCCCTGGAGGTGTGGCCCTGTGGAGGAAGCAGGATATCATATGAGAATGGGCCTCTGATGGGTCAAAAACTATGGAAGGACCCCTTTGTTCCCTCTGCCCCAGTACCTGAGGGTCGTCACGTCTCTCCAGGGATTTGACCAGAACAAAGCATTTGTTGGGGAAAGGCTCCCTCCCTGCAAAGAAAATGGAGACATCAGCAGGCTCCTAGCTCCCAGCCACGCTAGCCCCAGTCTGGGGCAGGAGGGTGGGGGGCCTGGGAAGGGGCATTTCCTCCTACCTGATCTTATCAGCTGCCCCAACTTGTCCCCCTCCATACGGCCATTTCGGCTCCGTCCCAGCCGGCCTAGCTCAGAAGCAGCAGCCAAAGTCTCCTCTTTCTCTGAAATAACTTGAGATGCTGTCTTAATTAGAGGAAACTATGGCTGCTACTTCTGCGTCAAAGATGGCTGAGACTGAGCCATGCCCACACAGAGAAGGGGCAGTGGGGCAGAGGCACGAGGGATGGCAGCCAGGAATCACAGGGATGTCCTCTGGTCCTTCATCCTGGGAGCCGGAGCTGGAGCCTCATCCCTGGAGGCCTGGCCCTGTGGAGGAAGAGGGACATCATATGAGAATGGGCTGTGACTGGCCAAAAACTACAGACAGAACGTCAGCTCAGATGCACATTCCGCTGTCTCAGCCACACCAAATATTCAAAGGCTTCTCTCTCCACTTTCACTATCATGGAGAATCCTAGAAATCCTGTAGTGTGTTCCGGGTGCTGGGAATGGGAGCTGTCGGGGATGGTAGGTCCTGGACAAAGGACAGTTCCCAGGATTCCTTGGTGGAAGCCAAGACCGTGAAAGTGGTAGAAGAGGCCTTTGAATGTCCAGTGTGGTGGATGCTCTCAACAGGAAGCCTGCCACTGACATGGGGGTTATGTTCTGGGGCTCACACCAGAATCTCACAGGGTCAAAACACATGGGATTCAGGGCTGGGTGGCAATGCCAAAGTCCCTTTTCCCGGACACCCACCTGCTTTCTGCTCCCTTTTCCATTCTTTAGATGAGTGAACAAGATCACACTGCCAATCTTGCAGGAACAAGGAAGCCCAGGAGAATCAGATGCCTCACAAGAGCATCTTGGATGAGGTGGCTTTCAAAGAGGGTGAGACAATTGCCTGGTGGAGAGTGTTATTGCAAGGCAACCAGGTTGGAGGGAGGAATGCTTCTGAAAAGCACTTTCTGGAAGCCACAGGTGGAGAGAGTGTTCCTACAACTCCCCAAACATGTTTCAGAAGGTCGCCCTTCCTTCCCTCTGCCCCAGTACCTGAGCGTCATCACGTCTGTCCAGGGATTTCACCAGAATGTTTGCTCAGGTTGGCACCACAACCTCCTGGCACATGTGGAGAATGGATTCCTCATGGAATAAACATACCACGACTTCCAAAATGCCATTTTTAAGTGTGGCCGCCTCCCCTTCCTTCATCTGTTCCCACAGAAGCCTCTTAGGACCTAGGAGACAGGAAAATAAAAACAGAGGAAGAGGTTACAGATGTGAAATGTCGGGGACATAAACTCAGAGACCCTGGCTTATGTTTCGCAGCAGGACTTAGGATCCACCCAGGACCTCAAACTTAAACTGTTCCCTCCCTGTGTCAGATTAAAGATTGTAAGCCCCTCAGGGCAGGAACCTCTTTCTCAAGGGTCATACGCAGTGATGGTGCAGAGAAATAATATAAAATAAATCTCTCTAGGCCCCTGCCCCATACAAGTTGAAGCCCACTGGACGCCTTTTCCTTAAATTTCCAAATCATCACCATCCTACCATTTATTTATTTCTAGGGTTTAGAGGTGTCCCCTACAAATCCATAACAGTATTTTGCCAATGCATGATAAAGTATATAAGTTTGGGACAAAGTAGTTGCTTTGGAAGATGATAATCAGGCATAACCTGGGTCTGTCAAGCTGTTTCCAGGTGTTTGGAGGGGGTGGTGCGAGGAATCTGGGCATTCGCAGTACAAGCCAAGCCTGGCTCCATGGCTCACCTAAATTCAGGGAATTCTGTTCCCGGGCAGCTGGCAGAGCCCCTCTTTGCCACATGCCCCTGGGGATATCGACTGTCCTACTGGTCCTAAGCCCAGCCCAGCTTCACGTCCCCCACCAAGAACCCCCCTTCGAGAACCCACTGCTCCCAACCGACTCTCAACTGCCTCCCTCCAACATTCAAACTCCCTTTCAAATCCTCCTCCAACCTTCCGTCTCCACCAGAATGCCCCCTCTCTCTTCCTCCCTCCCTCCCTGCTTGACATTCCCTTTGGAATTCTAGTAGCATCACCTCAATTACCATATTGCAAAAAAGGAGGAAGAGGGTTCAGATGGAATCCAGAGGTTACAGACCCTGGCTTAGGTCTTGCAGGAGGACTCAGGATCCACCCTGGACCTCAACCCTTCCCTGTTCCCTCCCTGTGTCATATTAAAGACTGTAAGCCCCTTGGAGCAGGAACCTCTTTCTCAAGGGTCACAATCAGCAATGGTGCAAAGATATAATATAAAATAAATCTCACTACGCTCCTGCCCTGAGCTAAAGCCTGCTAGAAGCCTTTCCCTTAAAACCAAAGGCTGTGCACAAACCATCCATTTGGGGCTCCAGCAGCATGAAAAGGAGCTAAGTCTGCAGAGCTGCACTGCTGAGAGGCAGGGACTCGGACCTTAGAAAGACAATTGTCAGAGAGGGCTCTGTGTGAGGTCCCTTTCCCTGCTCTCCTGGAGAAAAAAGAGCAAATTGTTCCCCTCTCTCTTCCTTTGACCTGTGTTGGACATGCCTCTTCAGCATGTGCCTGGAGTTGGTTATCAAGTAAATATCAGAACTGTTACAAAAGGCGGGTGCCACCCCCGTACTCTGCAAGATGCCAGGGGGGTTTAAGCACTCACCCAGAGTCTGTGTTCCTTTGGAGAATGGACCACAGCTGAAGAAGACCTGCGAAGCTTTCAACAGCTGTGGACAAGTCAAGCCAGGGAACCAAGTCGCCATGCACCAGTGACAGGTGACACTAATAACAACAATAATAATATTTATATGCCACTCATCTCCTCTGGGCTGCGGAGCTCCTCCTACTTTCAGAGTTCCTTCTCATTATCACTTGTCTCAGCAAGTCTCTCACCATCATCTGACAGGCATCCCTCTTGCAGGCCACTGTAAGGCTTGCATGCAAATCAGCACTTTGTGACATCAGCTGGCAAAGAGGGGCCAGGCTGCTGGGTTGCCAGGCAGCTGAATTAATAAAAATAAAAACAAGGGGGCGGGTGTCAAAGTGTGCTGGGATGAGGCCACCGTGGGTCAGGCCAGAGGGTGCTGTTGGGGTGTGTGGTTGTGCCTCCCCTCGTTCTACATCTTGCTCTCCTCCCTGTTCCTTTAGCTGCTTGATGGAATCATAGCATAGCAGAGTTGGGAGGGATCCCAAGGGTCATCTAGTCCAACCCCAGACAAGGAGGCAGTGGAAGACAGGAGTGCCTGGCATGCTCTGGTCCATGAGGTCACGAAGAGTCAGACACGACTAAATGACTAAACAACTAAACAACAACAAAGAGTTGGGAGGGATGCCAAGGGTCATCTAGTCCAACCCCAACGATGCCAGGATCCTGCCCACTGCCAGCCCTGGCTGGACCCCAAACTCTGGCCATCTTCTTAGCAACCAGATGCACTGACCCCTTGCAATTCTGCCTGGGCTGGAGAAAGGGGAGAGAGAAATGTTTTGCTCTCTTTCCCTCAGGACATGGATATGAGAGCCGCGCCATTCAGCCCTGTCAATATCTCAAGGGCTGTCACAGGGCGGAGGAAGGAAGCTTGTTTTCTTCTGCTCCAGAGGCCCTCAGGAACTGAAGCCATGGATTCAAGTTACAAGAAAGGAGATTCTGACTCAGTCTCAGGAAGAACTTTCTGACAGGAAGAGCTGCTTGACAGTGGGAAGAAATCCCTTGGGAGGCGGGTTGGTCTAGATGACCCTCGGGTTCCCTCCCAACTCTACAGTTCTATGATCCTATGATTAAAAGTGCATCCAATGAGAATTTAAAGCACATGACGTCCCCCAAATGATCCTGGGCATTGTAGCTTTCCTCTCGCAGAACTACAATTCCCAGAATCGTTTGGGGGAAGACACCTGCTTTTTAGAACAGGGAGTACCTGCAGCACACTTTCCCCAATTTCCTAGGAACCAGGAATGGGAAGCTCAAGTGCTTTTAACAGGATGACTTGTCAGAGCAGGCTTATAAAATTTTGTTCCAAAAGGTGCCGCCCCTCTCTCTACTGAGCGATGGCAAGAGTCCATGGCTCTCACCTTTGGAGAACTGAGATATGGCAGAGACTGTCTTACCTTTAAGAAATACAGTTTATTCACCTATTTACACCTTCAGTTTGCACGGAGGAATCCAGATCTTACAGCAGAGTCCTTTCAAGAGGGACTTGTCCCCCACAACAGGGCAGCCAATCTTCCCAAGTTGGATTCCACACTAGCCTCAGTTTTCCTGTCACCTCACACCCAGGTACAGTGGTACCTCGGGTTACAGATGCTTCAGGTTACAGACTCCGCTAACCCAGAAATAGTACCTCTGGTTAAGAACTCTGCTTCAGGATGAGAACAGAAATCGTGTGGCAGTCTGGCCCCCTTCCAAATCCACTGTTTTTGTCCACACCTCTGGGCAACTGATCCTTAATGGTCCTAGTTTGGTCAGGTCCTTTTGCACAGGCTAGCCCATGAATTCCTCTGCAGCTTGCATTTCTCCCTTCACATCCCAAATAACCCCAAATTTGTACCATTTATCAATTTCTAGGGTTTGGGATGTCCCCCAAAAATCTATAACAACATTGTGTGTAATAGGGTAATTGAGGTAATGATATCAGAATTCCGAAGGGAATGTCAAGCAGGGAGGGAGGGGGGAAGAGAGAGAGTGGAATTCTGGGGGAGAGTGATGATTGGAGGAGGCTTGGAAAGGGAGTTTGAATGTTGGGGAGGAGGCAGTTGAGAGTCGGTTGAGAGCGGTGGGTTCTGGAGGGGGAAGGTCAGCTGGCTGGGCAGTTATTCAGCTTAGGATCAGTATGAGAGTTGTTTGATGGTGGCCAAAAAGGAACAGAGACAAAGAGAGGGACTGTGAGTCTCCTGCGAAGAGGGGCTCTGCCAGCTGCCCAGGAACAGAATAACCTCAATTTAGGAGGGCCACAGAGCCGGGCTTGGCTTGTATTCCTAATGCCCAGATGCCTCACACCACCCTCTCCAATTACCTAGAAAGCAGCCTTATAGACCAGATTATTGTCTTCCCAAGCAACTTAGAAATGTAATGCTGGTGCTCAACGAAAGAAGTTTAAAGACTCTCTCAAGGCAAATCTAAAAGAAATGCTGTGTAAACAATCTGGAAATGCTGGCCTGCGAACGCTCCAATTGGAGAACAGCCTTTACCAACGGTGTCATGGACTCTGACGACACTCGAACTCAGGACGAAAGGGAGAAACGAGCTAAGAGCTTGGGAAACCCTCACCGTGATCAACTCCCACCCAGAAACCTATGTCCCCACTGTGGAAGGATGTGTGGATCCAGAATTGGCCTCCACAGTCACTTATGGACTCACTCTTAAGACTGTGTTCATGGAAGACAATCTTACTCGGCTACGTGTGATCGCCAAAGAAGATGAGAGAAATTGGAGGACTATGGCCATTTTCATTGACATGGACTTCATAGAAAATCCTCAGGGGAAGATGCCTTGCATGTCCATGCTCCCCCAACGTCCGGTTGATCCAACACTTCCACCATTGTGCTCCCTAAAAGCCAGCACCCATCCAGCAGGTGGAGGCGCACCTTGGGAGGGGGATAGTGTCATGGGGCAGAAATCAGCTTCACCTGCTGAACAGCAGCCTGAAGGGGGAGAAGGGGGAGTGTCTTCACCTGCAGCTTCAAAGACTCCAAGGAGAAAGTGCTGATGAGAACCAGCTGGCTTCACCCTTCTTCAGCACAGCTCCCAGCAGAAGGCAGAGAAGGAAACTGCTTGTTAGTTTTACTCTTTAACAATCTTTATCACATTATATTATTTAATCATTGGCATATCACAGGCAACCAGTTCCTACAATTTCTTCATTGAGTTTTAACCTAAGCCAGTGATGCCCTTCTCCTCTTGTCAGGGACTGGCACATTCAGACAGCATGCGTGGCCTTCCCAGCTCCCTCCCTTCCTCAGTCTGCTGCCTCCCCCCAGCCACATCCCTCCTTCTCCTGCGTAGAACAGAGCACCTCAGCAGCAGCCCATGGGCAGGCAAGCCAGTGGAGGCAGGGCCCTCCTGCGGTGGAGACATAGGGCCCCAGGGGGACAGCCTGAGTGCTGGCGAGGGTGTCTGGCCAGCTGACCCAGGGAGGGAGGGGGACAGAACAAGCACCCCTGCCAGGCTGCCCATGCCCACATCACCACTGGCTGCCAACGAACGCTGCTTCTGCCTGGGCACATAATGACCAGACCCCTGGCTTGGAAGGAGGGGGGTGAGGGGCTGGGGCAAGACAGGCCTGCTTCCCCCCCCCCCCCCAGCACTCAATTGGCATTTCCTCCTACCTGAACTCTGAGTCTTTCTGCACTTTGCCTCCGTATGGGGCTCTTTGTCCTTCCCCCGTCCCATTAGCTCTGGGGTGAGAGGCCTTTGTCTGGGCTCCAGTCCCTCCCAGGATGCAGTGGCTCCCAGGCTGAACCTTCTCCTCCCTGCAAAACAAACAGAGTCATCAGCAGGTGCCTGGCTCCCAGCCACACTAGCCCCAGTCTGGGGCAGGAGGGGGGGGACCTGGGAAGGGGCATTTCCTTCGACCTGATCTTATAAGCTGCCCCAACTTGACCTCCTCCGTACGGGCGTCTGGGCTCCGTCCCGACTGGCCTGGCACAGAGGTAGCAGCCCAAGTCTCCCCCGGCTCCAGAATAACTCTTGAGGTGTTCTTGATGGAGGGAAACCTTGGCTCCTCTTTCTGCGCCAAGTAGGGCTGGGAAGGAGCCATGCCCACATGGAGAAGGGGCAGTGGGGAAGAGGTGCGAGGGTTGCCAGCCGGGAACCGCCGGGATGTTCTCTCGCCCTTCATCCCGGGAGCTGGAGCCTCATCCCTGGAGGCCTGGCCCTGTGGAGGGGTGGCTCTGTGCCCATGCCCACGTCCCCATTGGCTGCCAACGATCGCTGCTCCTGCCTGGGCACATAATGGCCAGACCCCTGGCTTGGAAGGAGGGGGGTGAGGGGCTGGGGAGAGACGGGACTGCTCCCCCCCCCACTCCAGCACTCAATTGGCATTTCCCCCTACCTGAACTCTGAGCCTTTCTGCACTTTGCCTCCGTATGGGGCTCTTTGTCCTTCCCCCTGTCCCAGTACCTCTGGGGTGAGAGGCCTTTATCTGGGCTCCAGTCTCTCCCAGGATGCAGCTGCTCCCAGGCTGAACCTTCTCCTCACTGCAAAACAGAGACAGCAGCAGGTGCCTGGCTCCCAGCCAGTCTGGGGCGGGGGGGGGGACCTGGGAAGGGGCATTTCTTCCTACCTGATCTTATCAGCTGCCCCAACCTGTCCTCCTCCATACGGGCGTCTGGGCTCCGTCCCGACCGGCCTGGCACAGAGGTAGCAGCCCAAGTCTCCCCCGGCTCCAGAATAACTCTTGAGGTGTTCTTGATGGGGGGAAACCTTGGCTGCTACTTCTGCGCCAAGTAGGGCTGGGAAGGAGCCATGCCCGCACGGGGAATGGATGGAGGGTGAGGCAGGCGAGGAGCAGGGGCCGGGAGCCACCGCGATGGTCTGTTGTTCTTTGTCCTGGGAGCAGGCACTGGAGCCTCATCCCTGGAGGCGTGGTCCTGTGGAGCAAGCATCTGATGAGAAGGGGCTTGGGTGGATGAAAAACTACTGCCCCATTTTTGATGACCGCCCCCCAAAAGAAGTTCCACAAGGACCCCTTCCTTCTGTCCCAGTACATGATGTTCGCCACGTCCCTCCAGGGATTTTTCCAGTACGAAGTAAACGTTGGGGAAAGGCTTCCTCCCTGCAGAGAAAACGGAGGAATCAGCAAGCGCCTGGATCCCAGATGATAGCACCAGTCTGGCGCATGAGGGAGGGGGTACAAGGGAAGGAAGCATTCCTAAAATATGGGGCACTCAGTTGGCATTTCCACTTACCTGAAGTGGGAGCCTTTCCCCCCTCGTTCTGGCGGGCCTCTCGCCTAAGGAAGAAACAAACTCTGTTATTCTGATTGCTTGGAGGAGGAGCCATGCCCGCACGGGGAACAGATGGAGGGTGAGGCAGGCGAGGGTCAGGGGCCGGGAACCACCGTGATGGTCTGTTGTTCTTCGTCCCGGGAGCAGGCGCTGGAGCCTCATCCCTGGAGGCGTGGTCCTGTGGAGCAAGCAGGAAGCATCTGATGAGAAGGGGCTGGGGCGGATGATAAACTACTGCCCCTTTTTGATGACCCCCCAAAAGAAGTTCCACAAGGACCCCTTCCTTCTGTCCCAGTACATGATGGTCTCTCATTCTTCGTCCCGGGAGCAGGCGCTGGAGCCTCATCCCTGGGGGTGTGGCCCTGTGGAGGAAGCAGGACATCATATGAGAATGGGCTGCGGTGGGCCAAAAACTATGGAAGGACCCCTTTGTTCCCTCTGCCCCAGTACCTGAGGGTCGTCACATCTCTCCAGGGATTTGACCAGAACAAAGCATTTGTTGGGGAAAGGCTCCCTCCCTGCAAAGAAAACGGAGATATCAGCAGGCACCCGGCTCCCAGCCACGCTGGCCCCAGTCTGGGGCAGGAGGGTGGGGGGCCTGGGAAGGGGCATTTCCTTCTACCTAATCTTATTAGCTGCCCCACCCTGAACTCCTCCGTACGGGCGTCTGGGCTCCGTCCCGACCGGCCTGGCACAGAAGCAGCAGCCAAATTCTCCCCCGGCTCCGGAATAAGTGTTTTTGATGGGTGGAAACCTTGGCTGCTGCTTCTGTGCCAAACAGGGCCGGGAAGGAGCCATGCCCACATGGAGAAGGGGCAGTGGGGAAGAGGTGCGAGGGACGTCAGCCGGGAACCACCGGGATGTTGTTCGGTTCTTCATCCCGGGTGCCGAATCTGGAGCCTCATCCCTGGAGGCCTGGCCCTGTGGAGGAAGCAGGATACAGTATGGGCTCTCATGTGAATGGGCTCTCACTGTCTGCAGATTCCCCAGTTATTGCATCGCCACACCATGCTGCTGGGCAAACTCGCAGAACATGAAATTGCTGGTGGCTCCTGAGGTTTTAATGCTCGCAGTTGTACTCTGCGTCCATCTGGGAACTGTAGCGTCACACGCGAGCTGAGACCAGGAATAGCCAGTGGTAGTGGAGGCCCTGTGTTGTCACAGAGGATACATATGGGAAATGCCAGGGAACCCAGAAGTCTAAATTGACAGATCCTGACTTCTGTCTTTCAGCAGGACTCAGGGGACCACCCTGGACCCTCAGCCTTTCGCTGTTGCCTCCTTGCCTCAAATTAAAGACTTTAAGGAACCTCTTTTTAAAGGGTCACACACAGTGACGGTGCAGAGAAATAATGCAAAATAAATCTCACTACGTTTCTGCCCCGTGTAAGCTAAAGCCTGCTAGAGACCTTTCCCTTGAAATGATAGACTGTGTACCCACCATACCTTTGGGGCTCATCCCCACTTCCCCTTGGGTCATGTGCCCAGCAATCTCAGGTGTGTTAACATATTTGCTCTTTGCTAGATGGGCCAGCCTGGTTCGCAAAAGTCAGCCCAGGAATTCCTTGTCCGGCACAGTTGTGCAGCCTGTACTTTCATTGATATCCCAATTAATCAAAAATCTACCTTTTGTGTATTTCTGTGGTTTGCGGGGAGGGGGGGTCTCTGGCAAATGTATAACACTATTTTGCCTGCACAGTTTTTAATGCCACTATTGATGTGAACTGATGCATGATTTATAAAGTAAATAAAGCTTATTTTTAAAGTTCCCATGTTGATGCCTGATTCTTTCTTAAGTGGGGAAAAGGGAGGGGAGGCAGCTAGCTTCATAGCTGGACTTGCTCAAAAGAAGGTTTTGCAGCCTGATTCCTCTCCTTTTAAGTTTGCTGTCAAGGATGGGATTTTAAAACTCTGTTTTTTAAGGACCAGGTGGCAACCCTTCTTCAGGTATACAGGACCCACACTGTGAATTGTGCTCGCAAACGTATTGGGAGCCACCATAGATCCTTTAGGACCAGTGTTATATGGTCCCAGCGGCTGCTCCCAGTCCCCAGTCTAGCTGTCACTACATCTGCTAGCTCCTCTCAGATATGCCTGAGCCAATCTGATCTGAGGGGAATCCCTTCCTGTCCTCCAATATATGGTCATCTGTTAGAGCTTGAGCAGAACCAAACCCCACCTCCCAGGCGTCCCCCTTGAAGGCAAGGCACAATCCTGGGACCCTCAACACCCAATGGTTTTCCATTTTGAACACAAGGGGTCCCTCCCCAACTCAAGAACCTGGCATCTGAGCTCCTCCGACCTTCCTGGTTCCTCCTCATGACTGAGTTCCTAGGACTCCACGGATCTCTGCTAATGGGAGCTGTTCCCAGAGCCCCTAACAAACTACAGTTCCCAGGATCATGGGGGGGAAGACACCTGCTTTTTAGAACAGGGATGAGGAACCTGCAGCTTCCTCACACCCATTTCCTTGGAACCCAGAATGGGAAACTGAAGTGCTTCTTCTAACAGGATGATTGCAGGGAGCAGCAGTGCTTTTCTTCAGCCAGAATTCTCCGCAACTCCATTCCAGCACCTTAAAAAAATTATTATTATTATTATTATTGCCCAACTTTCCCCCTGCTTTTCCCCTTCTGGCCGGGAAAAGAGTCTCTCTCCCCCCCCCCCCGTCAATGAAGCTAAGATAGCTCACTGCTTCGTGCCCAAGGAAGGGCCGCCCTTGCCCGCTGCAGTGGACACCTCGTGTGTAAAGAGAGGGATGCTGATTGGGAATCGGTGCAAGAAGAAGCGGTCAGCTTCTGGGATTCTGATTCCTGGACGTCCTTCCAGCTGTGTGGATGCAGGAATGGGTGGGCAGGAGCCCTGGTCCATTTGTGGGCAAAGAAATAAAACTGCCATTCGGGGATATCTTTATCAGCACCACATACAATGTCACAGTGTGGTGAATAAGATTTGGGAATACCCAGGAATGTTTCTCTAAGTGAACTGGAGGGGAAGCAGAGTAACAGGCTGGGGTGCAGTGGGGAGGGAAAGTGGGCATGATGGAAAAGCTCAAAATTGATGCAGGACTGCGGGAGGTATAATGCAGACTTAAGATGGGCATTGTTTTAGGGAATTCAATGTGTAATATAATATAATATAATATAAAACAAAAGAACCAATTTGGGCAACATCTGGGGGGAAAGGGTGGTCTCCAGTCCTAATCTGGAGGCTGTCATCTACTTGGAAATAAATTCCAACAGTTCCATGGGGCTTCCTTCCAAGGAAAACGTGCCTGGATTGGGGACCTCAATGGCTAAAGCCATTTGTGTGTGTGGAAATACTGCTGCCCTGAGACCTTCCAGAGCAATTGCTGGTCAGTGTATACTACTACTACTACTACTAGTAGTAGTTATTTGTACCCCACCCATCTGCCTGGCTTGCCCCCGTCACTCTGAGGTAGATGGAGCAATCTAGGGTCTAAATCCCCTTCCTGTGTTTCTGTTTGGGAGGGGCGACAGCTCAGTGGCAGAGCATCTTCTGGGCACCCAGAAGGGCCTTGATTCAACTCCCTGCTTGGCTTCAGGTGTGGGGATGAGAAGGCCCAGCTTGCAGGTTCAATCCACTTCTGGCACAGCTGCATCTTCCTGCATTGCAGGGGTTGGACTAGATGATCCTCAAGGTCCCTTCCAACCCCTAGTGAGATTTATTTTATATTATATCTTTGCACCATCGCTGTGTGTGACTCTTGATAAGAAAGTTCCTGCCCTGAGGGGCTTACAATCTTTAATATGACACAGGGATGGAACAGAGAAAGGTTGGGGTCTAGGGTGGATCCTGAGTCCTCCTGCGAGACATAAGCCAGGGTCTCTAAGTTTAGACTTTGGGATTCCCTGACAATTCCCATCTGTACCCTCTTCCTCTGTTTCTGCAATATGGTAATTGTGGTGATGTTATTAGAATTCCAAAGGGAATGTTAAGCAGGGAGGGAGGGGGGAAGAGAGAGAGTGGAATTCTGGTGGAGAGAGAAGCTTGGAGGAAGCTTGGAAAGGGAGTTGTTTAAATATGGGGGGGGGAAGGCAGTTGAGAGTGTTGGGTTCTAGAAGGGGGCTCTTGGTGAGGGACCTGAAGCTAGGCTGGGCTGGCTTTGAGTCAACAATGACAGGGGAATGTGGCAAAGAGGGGCTCTGACAGCAGCCTGGGAACAGAATTCCCTGAATTTAGGTGAGCCACGGAGCCAGGGCTTGGCTTGTACTGCGAATGCCCAGATTCCTCACACCACTATTCAGCTTAGGATCAGAAGTCATCACCCTCATTTGATGGTGGCCAAAAAGGAACGGAGACGCAGAGAGGGACTGTGAGTCTCCTGTGGAGATCGGGGAATGTGGCAATCCCATGCCCAGCGAAAAGGGGCTCTGCCAGCTGCCCAGGAATTGAATAACCTCAATTTAGGAGGGCCACGGAGCCACGCTTGGCTTGTATTCCTAATGCCCAGATGCCCCCTCCAGTTACCTGGAAAGCAGCCTTATAGACCTGGACTATGCCTGATTATTGTCTTCCCAAGAAACTTAAAAATGTAATGCTGGTAGTCAACGAAAGACTCTCTCAAGGCTAATCTAAAGAAATGTAGTACTGTATAAACAATCAGGAAACGCTGGCCTGTGAGTTCTCCAATTGGAGAACAGCGTTTACAAAACGGTGTCGTGGACTTGAAGACACTTGAACTCAAGACAAAAGGGAGAAACAAGTGAAGAGGAAGACATTTTTGGCAAACCCTCACCGTGATCAACTCCCACCCAGAAACCTATGTCCCCACTGTGGAAGGGTGTGTGGATCCAGAGTTGGCCTCCACAGTCACTTATGGGCTTTCTGTTAAGACCGTGTTCATGGAAGACAATCTTACTCAGCTACAAGTGGCCAAGAAGGCCAAAGAAGAAGATAGATTTGGGGTCTACGGCCAATTTCATTGACATGGACTTGAAAATCCTCCTGGGAAGATGCCTCATATGTCCATGTTCCCCCTCCTCCCAGTTGGTCCAACACTTCTACCCTCATGCTCCCCCAAAACTGGCACACAACTGGCAGGTGGAGGCGCACCTTGGGGAAGGGGATAGAAGTCAACTTCACGTGATGAACAGCAGCCTGAAGGAGGAGTGACTCCGCCTGCTGATGATCAGCCTTCAAGAACTCCCAGGAGAAGGCGCTGATGAGAACCAGTTGTCTTCAGCCTTCTTAAGCAGAGCTCCCAGTAGCAGTCAGAGAAGGCAGAGAAGAAAATAAAGAAAACAGCTCATTATTTATTCTTTTTAACATTGTTTATTAAGAAATATTATTTGATTCTTGGCATATTGAAAGCAAACAGTTCCTCCAATTTCTTTATTGAAGAAGAGTTTGGATTTGGGCATCCTGATCAAATTTGCAGATGACACCAAACTGGGAGGGGTGGCTAACACCCCAGAGGACAGGATCACACTTCAAAACGACCTTGACAGATTAGAGAACTGGGCCAAAACAAACAAGATGAATTTTAACAGGAGAA